GTATACCGCGCTAATACTCTAATTTTAAATATAAATAATTAAAAATATAAAACTTATATATACAAATAAATAAGGGTAAATTGTATAAATAAAAAAATTGATTTAAAAAATTAAATCAAATATTATATTATTTTTATGAGTGTAGTTTTTAACGCTTCAGACTGATGTAACACGAAACTTATGTTAAATTCTAAGAGATATTCGTGAGTTATTAAATTACTGAATTTTTTTAATTATCAGAAATTTAAAATTGAATATTTTATTTGGAAAAAAGAAAAAAATTATTAGCTGTTACATGAAACAGCTAAATTTAATTTTTTGGATAATGGCCAGAACTACGTAATCTAATCGATGCTTCAACTTTCCACCTTTCTAAAATCGATTTTAATAGATTTATTTCTATAAACTTCATCTTTAATAATGAAATTTAAGTAACTTTATTTTTTTCCTTGAAAAAAAAATAGAAGTGCTGCAGTTATTACAAAAGATGCAATACAACAAAATAACTGAAAGAACCTTCAGTACAATGAATTTAATTAAATTACAATTGACATCATGATATTTAAAAAAGGGGGATATACTCGAAAAGAGAAATTAAAATAAACGTACAAATTCACAAAAAGGGCCAATTGTTATGAAAAATAAAGGAGTAACGATACAGTAATGTAATAATGAGATGAGAATCAACCGATAGCAAATGAATGAACATGATATATAGGCTACATTTTAAAGCTTTAAATTTAAAAATAATTTATTATATTTTATATATGTTTTTAAGTAAACTGCATACAGTTTAAGTTTGCTTATTTATTTTTCTTATTTACAGTAATGACAACGTATCTCCTCTCCACGTTAACAATAAAACCCTGAACATACACATAAAATACAATAAAAAATATAATAATTAAAACATTAGACAAAATTTAGAAGTACAAATTTTAATTTATTAAAAATTAATTTTTAATAATAATAATAATACAGGGAATCTGTAAACTGTAAGATAATTTTTAAGCTAATTTAAACATTAATATAAATTTTACTTCCGAAAATTGCTGCGTGAAAATTAATTATTTTAATTATAATTAATGTAGGTTGATGCTATTTAAATTTATCCTTCAATTCAAATTGGTTAAGCTTCGAGTTTCTACCAGTTTAGTAAGTTATAGAGAGAGAAGGAGGGAGGATAATTCTTTGTTTTGCACTGATCTATTCAACAACTACACAAACAATTTAATGATTTTATCTTTCCAGAACTTTTTTCATATAAAATAGTACAAATGGAAAAATTCAGAGTTGAAAATCGAATTCCTCTTCCTTCTTTCCTATTCCTAGAGGCACAATTTTCAGTTTTTTTTAAAGCTTTTATGCTGTGAATATACCCTATTGAATATTGAATTTTATCGATCTAGTTTTAACAGTTTCGCCAGAAAACCTTGCAGCAATAAAGATTCTTTACTTAAAATTCAAGAAAATTTCTCAAGAAGTGATATATATAGTTTTTTTTTATATATAAATATACAAAGTTACTATCCATAACTTTTCACTTTTTGATTCAAACTTAAGTAACTTATCGTGGGTCGAAATACAACTCATTAAAAAGACTTTTATTAATCTCATAATTAATTATCGAATTTTCTTACATTTTTGATATTCGGTGTAATAAAGATTTATCAATTAACTAAAAAAAAAAAAAATTAAATATTTTAATTAAAATTTAGTCTTATTATATTGAAAAATTCTAAATGATATATTACTATATTTATCAATAATTCTATATTTTAAATATCAAATTAATAATTAATAGATTAATAGATTCATACTGTCTTCCTTCTGTCCGTTCTTCCATAATCTCGAAGTTAGAAGAAAATCGAGACCAGACATGGAAAGCGGAAAGCTTAGGGGTAGGACGCCCCGATTAACTATATATGAACTTCCGGTCTGGCCCGGAAATCACGTGATTTTTAAATTAAAATATGATTAAAAATTGCAGCCGGCATTGTGACGATGTCACAATAAGTAATTGCTCGTTTTTAAAGTATATTCTACTGAATAAATGAATCCAAATACGGTAACTTTGTACAAATTAAAGCAAAATTTTTTAATAAAATTATTCTTCTAGAATATATTAAAATATAAAAAATAAAATTGTGTCTTACGATGTAATTCCTTAATGCCTCATAAAACTAATATTTACATATTTACAGAGAAAGAGAGAGCGATTTTATTTCACACTTCCTCCATTTTTTATTGTTTGTATATAAAATAATTTAAAAAAGGAGTCAATAATTTTATTTTTAACTCTTACACGATATTTTATCAACATTTATTACTTAGTTTAAGGCAATCAGAAAGCCAAATGAAGCTTAGAAGCCTTCCACCAACAATTATAGCCTAATTACTCTATAACTCATGGAACCGTATCACTAAGAAATCTACACTTACAAGTTAGTATATCACAGAATAAATTTTTTATATTAATAATACCCAAATATATTTAATTAAATGACTATACAAATATTAGAATATAATTTAAAACTATGCTTAAAATAATAACTATAAGTAAATTCTCTTAAAATTCTGAAATTGGGATCACGAGATCTAATCATAGAATTATCCACATGAAAGCCCAAATGGAAGCCAATCTGACTATTAATTAACTATTCCACATTAATGAAGTCGACCTTTACTACACTAAATCAACATTACTTCATTTTTTTTCTCCTTCCTAAAATATGAAATCACTAATTGGCAAAGAGAAGCGAACAAGTTGCTCTGATTCTTCGTATTTTAGAAATTATAAATTTGAAAAATACTTTATTAAAATAGAAGAAAATTCACCAAAATGAACGAGGTCCAACCGTTTACAAGTTTAATTATTTTAATTAAAATAAGAAATATGTATTAATTATTGTACACAAGAAATCATTTTCTTGAAAATTCCATCCGCCAATTATTGACTCTTTTTGATTTTATATATAAGCCTTTAATTATTATTATTTTTTAAACATATAACACTGTATTTTACACTATACTTCTGTTAAATAGGAATTTTAATTTGTGCGAATGATAAAATATTACGTTACGAATTAAGAGCCTTGTCAACAATGATGAAAACTTTGAAAAAATACCTCGAAAATATTTAATTTTAGTTTTCAAAAATAATATTTACTTTAATATCATTGAAAATTATTTCAAAGGGATGCTGAGATGCAATTCGCAAATCACTGAACAGTTTTTTTAAATTATTATTTGATTAAGAAAATTTAAACACCACGTTGCTATGTTTGTATTATACATATTTATTATTTGTTTAGTATAAACTAAACAACATGTCTTGTACGTGATGTATTCTCAAAAATATCTAAATGTAATTTTATTAATTCAACAAACCTACTATATATAATGTTTTCATGTAATATTGATTAGTCTCTAGATGGGTGAAGTGATTACAATTACATGAAACTATTATGTCAGTGAGTACAAAGATTAGAAAAACATCTGTACTGTGTTTTATTATTCTACTACTGTACAATGTGGGTTGTTTAAGACTTATTAAACCTGACAGATAGATTTCAGGTTTAACAAGTATTAAACAACAGTAGATTTGTGGAATAATAAGAAAATCATTGTGGAATAGTGGAATAATAATAAACAGTAAAAATAATACTCTATAAGCTAAAAATAATAAATCTATACTATAATAAAGATTTTAATATAAGCTCAATGGAAAAGAAAGTAGCACGCTTCCCTACTGTAAAAGCTTCTCAAGCGATTTTACTGTTCACTCTTAACGTTGAACAGGAAGAAATTTTAAATCATATAACTGAAATGTTATCTTCATTTAGACCAGGGGTTCCCAGCCTTTTTTTTACGTGTTGACCATTTTTAAGAAAATTTTTTCCGTTGACCTCTTTACTATTATATTATATGCTGTGTTATACATTATGTATTTATGTAACAGCACTCATACATAATTTTTAATATTTTCTAATGAATTTTTTATATTTACAAAATTTGATCAACCCCTCTTAAATTTTCATGGACCCTAATGGGTCGATAATGACCTAGTTGGGAAGTCCTGATTTATACTAAATGACAACATTTTAAATATACGGGAGAGAGAGATTTAAATATTTAGTATGTTTTTGGATACTTTTGCAAAAGAATCTTAAGAGTGAATCCTGACGTTTATGACTCGTTGACGTCAAAAGCTACATCAAGATAAGACAATAATTTTTAATATAACAATATTAGGTTATAACTTTTAATAAAGAGCTAAAATAAGACAAATAAAAAATTTACATTTACTGATTTTAAGGTAAATTAAATATATAATGTCCGGCGTTGCTCGAGATTTTGAGGGGATGGAGAATATGTGAGATTGGATTGAAAGGGGATGATAAAAACAATGGTCTTACTCGTTAGTAACTAACAAAAAATGTACATTTATTTATGTTAAATTATAAATGTACATTATTGTAAATACCCGAGTATTTACAATAATGAAACTGCAAAACACAAAAAATTGCTCGAACTTCAGTTAAGAAGGGGTGGACTTTAGGATTGGGATGGGGACTTCCACAGTACTTTTCTAGGGTGCCGAAAAATATTCTTGACAAATTTGGTGCAGATACGTTAAACGGTATAGAAGCCTTTGCCTAATATATACACATATTTCGACATTTTTTATATATAGAGATATTGATATATAGATATAAATTTAAAATATATAGATGTAGCATATAACTAATATACATTATACAATATTTATAAATAATTTAATTAGTTGTTAACTGTGATTAAAAAAATTATAATACAAGATTAGAGCATACGTTCAAAGTATAACAATTTAGTACTATTAATATTTAAATTCATATCATATTTAGTTTATCTTTTTCTTAAATTTTTTATTATTCTAATATTTCATAGAATCTAAAAAATAATAAAAAATTCAACATTTTACAAATTTACTATAAATTATATACGACAGGTTGCTCTCCTTATCATAGTTTAAATTCGATATATCTTTAAATTTTCTCTTTAATAAAAAAATAATAATGATTTATATTTTAAGATATTCAAGTTTAATTCTCAAATCAATTTTTATATAATATTTATAAATTTATTTTTTGAAACGAAAAATAGGCCTATATGTTATAATCTTAAAAACAGAATTGAAAAAAATCGATAAAATAACTACGCCAGGCATTTTTTAATATCTAAAATAACATTAAATATTTTTATATTTTATCAATTTACATCAGATAATATTTCTAAATATATACTCAAAAAACTTAGGATATTCTTGAATGAAAACAGGAAAAAACTTGATCAATATTTAAAATAAAGTTACTATTATCATAATAAGATAAGTGCATAAAGGATGATGCTTGTTTTCCTGGAGAGCTGTGCCAAGAATATGGGCATCATATATATAGAATCAATGTTATCAAGATAACAAGCTCAACGAACACTAGAATAATAAAACAATAACTTCTAGAGCTTACCTTTAGATCCATGTCATTTATTCAATTTTAGAAATTGCTCCGTCAAAAGAGTATTCGTTAAAAATATAAATGGTAATAACATTATTAAATGTACAAGCATGGAGGGACAAACAGGGAACTTGTCTTCCCCTGTGATCGAATAAAACTTTTCAAAATTATAATCGTAAAAGTGATTGAGATATTAACTTCACATCATCGACCATAATGTGTATTCTATAATCTACTTGTAAAACAACCCCAGAAAATTAAATAATTAAATAAACATTTATTGATGTAATTACTTGTCTCCAAGCTTTCCCCCGATGTATTATGCAGTACATGTTTAATGCAATATAAAGAAAATACACACGTATTTTTAAAGAATACCTTTTTTTTTATAGAATAATTTAATCGTCATGGATCTAACACGGTATTTACCTTTGTTACTTTCTACAACGTAGGTTATAGACGTTATTACAATATATATACAGTAAAAATGTACTGTACGTAATGTAATATCTTATAAGTTCTACCTCAAATACGACAGCGCTTATTGATTACTAAACTGGAGATTTAATATAATATAATCCAAAGTACTGTAAATGGAACAGAATATATTTATTTAACTCAAGAAACATTACAGAATTAGACAAAACTTTTGTAGATCAATAATTAATTCAATCGAAAATAAAATGAACTTTTACAAAGAATTATAGAATATTTCACCTGAGATAAATCAGAATGATTCATTTCCATAATTTTCAACTTTTAAAAAGTATTCTAACCAATGATTAACTATAATAATTTAAAAATAGCGAATAATATAGGCCTAAACCTCTTAAATTACAAAGTATTCTTTCAGGAATCTGATATTATAAATACAGTAGCAATTTTAATATATTAAAATCACCGTTATTATTTTATAAACTGTTGCAGATTTTAAAATGAAAGAAGTCAGAAGAAAAAACAGATAATTCAGAACTTATTAAAGAAACAAATTCATATAATTAATGTAATTTAAGTAGATTTTTCCACGTGTACTTAAAAAAATTTACAATTTTCAAATAGATGCTTCAATTAGGATAATTACATTATGATTTAGTTTTTAACACAATAGAATGTTAAATACTTAATGTTTAAGCATTGTATAATTTAGAAAATTGCAAAAATCACAAATAAATTTTAAATAAAAATTTATTTTTTTATAATTAGATTCATTGAGAAAATAATAACGTTCTGTTAGCATCTTATGAAAACTTTTGCAATTTATATTATTCTTTAACTTAATTGAATAAATTCTATAATCTAATAAAATATTAGTAAATTCAAGTGCCATAGGAGCTTTATTATAACCTAATTGCTACACAAAAAGCCGTCGTAAAGCGAGACGTCACCTATTTCTCACAGGCTCAATGACATTGAAAATAAATTCCAAGGAAAATATTTAAATACATTGTCAGATAAAGTTAACATAAATTAAAATATGACGCTGAAATACGATCAAGTAGTCAAACATATTGAAATTTATATCAGTCATTGAAGTGGGGGTTGTAAAACGGCGAAATGTCAAGCAAAATCAGCCATAAAACGAGGATCTACATTTGATAAATTTATATTATTTAGAATATATTTAAATATGTCTGCACAAAACAATAGCGCAAATTTCAGAAACTAAATAAATAATAATATAAATAAGCAATTATTTTAGTTATTCATTCAATAAATTAAATATCTAACTATTTTTTTATAAATATAATTTTTTATTTTGGTTACCATACATTAATTATATTTAGAAATTTTTTATTGAATTATTCTAATTATTCTCTATTTTAAAACTGCTTTTAAAATAAAAATAGAACTGTAATGGTCGTTAACAATTCCATTCAAGTTACAGTAAAAAAATTATTTTAAATATTTTTAAGTAGATTAAAGTTATATAAATTAATTTATCAATAAATAAAATCCATATTTTTGATAAAGAACAATTTTACGTCATAATATTATTAATAATATCAATAATAACAATAATCAATTAAAATATGTCATAATACATTGACATATTATAAAAATAAGATATATAAAATCTGAAAATATTAAAATTTTTCAAAAAAATTTGAAATAAAGGTAGTGTTTGATTGATTAATTAACACGAGACACCAGCATACTTAATCTGTATGGTCTGCCACAATTACACAATTATGGGTGGGGCTGACCTCCAATGAGGTCTACCACCATCGAAGAGGGATGAAGAACGATATCCCGACCTATACTACACAAGATAAATTATAGGGGACTGAACTGTAGGTGTTCGAACACGGATCCCCACAGAGATAGGGCGCACTTGTTTGGAGTGGGGTAGAGCGGGTCCCTTTTACTATGTTTCTGTTTTTTTTTTTGAGCGAATAAAATGAATAGAATATTTCTTTATTAATAAAAGCAGTCTTAAACAACTTTATTTTTGTTATTTTTAATAACATTAATTTATTATGGCCTCTAAGTCTTTTGTATACTCTGAGGACTTTTAGCTAACAAAAGTAACATTTAAAAGACTAAAAATTTCGTTAATATAAATAATAAAACATTCCCTAAACAGATATTTCTTTTTATTTCATTGCAAATTAAATTTAAAATATAATTTACAAATTTGCTTGAATTTAATAATAATTAACTTATTTGTTTCCAGGAAACAATCTGTTCAACATCATCGACTTTATGCACTCGAAAAAACCTTACCTCTCATCATTTATTTCTGTAAGGTTCAAGCTATGTTGAATATGTTTCAAAAGTTACTGAGCAAATTTATTGAGTTATTTGATAAGTGTTTACTACTTAAAAAACATCATAAAATATAAAAGTAAATATTTATCCTGCATTTTAAAAACATCCAACTGATGTTAAATAGTTTTTATATAACATTAAAATGAGTAGTCGCAAAGGAAGGGGGACATTTTAAACATCTGCAAGTCATCGCGCCCACACAGATTTAAAATATTAACGCACGCAACGACAGTTACATTGTCGATATCATGTTTTATTATTCCACCTCGATAAGCTACTTCTCAGTAACTGCATAAACTGATACCAATGAAGTTATTTACGTCATACATGATAATTACATTAAAACAACTAAAATACATTAAAAAAAAAACTTATAATTTCAAAATAAACCTTACCAAAAGCAGATCTTCGTTCGTCAATGTGGTTAATTTATCCAATTCTGTGAATTCATTCTCCGCAAATACGTTCACATAACTTTCCAAATTTAAAGACCTTAGCCACTGTTCTATCGAGTTTGGTATTCCAGCTTTGCCTTCTCCTCTACCGATAGGGAGAAGATTTGGAAAGTCTTTAGCAGAATTAAGAATCTTCTGCCTGTGATTTTCCGCTAGAACTCCGATTTCTATAAGATCTCTATCGTCCAGAGTCGTACTTCCCTGCATCGTACATTACATAATCACATATAATTTTATCAAAATAAAGATTTATTCTTAAAAAAAACAAAATTAAAATGCCCATAAATTTAAAAAAAGAACTCACCAGAAAGTCGACATCGTCGAAGCCATTTTCCATCAATAAATTTTCATATTCTGCCATATCTAAACTTTCTAACCACTCTCTGACTGTACTAAATCCTCTGGCATTGCCCGCTTTTTTCCTGTTATCTGAAAATATTTTAAAAAATAAAACTTTACTAAGAGATTCGTAGATAAATATAAATTACATCTACGCTAGAAACTCTTAAAAAAGCTTCATAAATGAATATTCGAAGATGTATATGAGGCATAGCTTAAATGTAAACAGCAAGAGGGGGAGAATGCAATTAACTAAGTCCTAATTAAAAAATTAGAATAGATTTAAAAACCATTTTATTATTGGTTCCAACTTCACCATTCTTTCATTATTTATTCAAATAAAGATAATTTGAATAAATAATTTTATTATATTTAAAATGGCGAACATGAATCTAGAAAAACGGAGAGGGGAAAAAATTATAATAATAAAATATTTAAATGCCTTAATTTAAATAAGAAAGAAGTTTATTTATCTTCTGTACATAAACAATATCGTTAACGAATTCACGAGATAAATGGAATAAAATAAATAAATAAAAATTTTAACCTGAACTAATAAATGTCTTGGTGAACTGCTCTTCGATTTCTCTTGCAAAGACCGACTCTCTAGCGATTCCACTTCCAAAAGAGGCCATAATATCGGCTATTTCGGCCCATTCGGCATTCTCATCGAAAGGGCTAAGAAGTGATAAGCTGCTCCTTTGATCAGACGTCCCTCCGTCAGTCATCGTCTTCAATTTGGTGCCAACATCACCGTCTTGGAATAAATTCATCGGCCTCTTTGTTGGATGTCTGTCATCTGTACGACCATCCAAGGGACAGACGGAGCCTCGACATAAACCTGTTCGAGCACAATGACCATTGGTGTGATAATGCATATAACTAGGGTTTATGGATTATTGATTCGACTAACCGTTAACGGAAAAAAAAAATATTTAAAATATACAAATGACTTCTGATAATTTAAAGCATGTAAACAACTGTTTGTATTTGCAATTCTGTTGTTTCTAACCCATATTTTACAATAGTACTCGATTAAATACAAGATATTTTTTTACATAACTTATAAATTACTGTATTATTATTTTTTAATACATTTAAATAAATTTTTAGTATCTTAGTCATCGTAGTATGATTAAGGTAGATAGAGACGTGCAATTAATATTAAATTTATAAATATTCAGAGTCAATATTTACGCATAAATAATGTAATTATATAATTATATATATTATAAATATTATAATTGTATTAATTATTTATAAAGTACATATCAATATTTAAATTAATGTACTGTACATAATAAATATAAAATTATTAATCATTCGAAAAATTGTAAATAAATTAAGTAAGAAAAAAAGAATAAAACGTTTATTCTATTTTTAATTAATTTATTTACTATTCATTGATAAAAATTTTGAAAAAAATATAAAATAATAATCCTAATTAAAATTTTTTGTTTAGTTCTAATTATTCTTTAACCAAAATAAATAAAATTTGGTTAATTAATATAGGATTTAGTATAAATAAATAAATATATTTTAGATATTTTAAAGCGTAAAAATTAATAGAAGAAAAATAAAATATTTTCATTTAATTTCCGTCCTGAATTCGTCATTGTTGATTTAAAATGAACGTCAGAATGAAGTACGTCGTCACGATTATAAAAATTGATTGACATATTTATCAAAATTTCATTTATATAGCCTAAATTATTTGTAAAAGAATCAAGTGATCTAATATTTATTTAAATGAATACTTAATAATTATGGATGACTTACAATCGAGTTTTCTATATTAAATTTTTATTACTTATTACAATTTATTTTTTCGAAATAAAACCTATTTAATGCCATTCTTTCTATATAAAGTTAAAAATAAATGCCTACATCTGATAATATCGATTAAATATAGATTCTGTTTAGTTATTGCTCTTAGTACAAATTTACAGCCCTAGTCTTCTATTTAATTAATTATTCAAATTTTTAAAGTATTATACACAGAACAATTAAACTGTGACATGGCAAAAGAATCATTATTTAGCAAAGACGACGGTAATAAATCAGTCGTACAGTACGTTACGACAATGTTAAGTGAGCATTGGCATCTGATGATGACAACGTATTTTTGGATATGAAAGCTAATAATTGGATTCATTGTACAGTACAATCCCCGACTGGAATAATATCTTGTTGCAGTGTCTACTAGAAAAAAGTAATAATAATTAAGGAAAAAAAAACAATCCTTTGGCTAAAGTATGCAACAAAAGAAAAAAAATTAAGAAGAGCAACAGGTAGGTTACTTATTCCACGTCTTTAAAAAGAGTAACCGGTAGGCTGTTTCAAATTTTTACTATGTAGGCTATGTATTGCATACTTTTTAAGAAGTGTAACATATATTTACAATGTAGAATAAATAAATTATTTTTTTACATAAAATTAAACATGTATAAATCATATCATTGGCGAATTTACGGCCTTATCCTTCGTTGAAAGTCGTAAAAATGTATAAATATAATAAACGAAACAAACAAACTATAAAATTCAAATATTTTTCTTAAAATTTTTAGTTTAAGAGAATATTTTACATTAATTCCTTACTCTAAATTTAATATTAGAGCAAGGAGTCAAGAATATAATTATGAAATTTTGAGATACTTTGAAGTCTTTTAGTCTCAACAAGACTTCAAATTTATCGATTTATTCATTTAATACTCAATAAAGAATAGGATTTATCAGCCAGACAATCTAATTCATTTGAGAATTTTTATTTATTTATTTTTTCATGAGTTAACTCAGATAATGAATCATAACTGTTTCTCAGTTGTTAAGAAACTTCCCGATTGCCTAATCGTTATCTCAACGACGGTTGACACTACAAAATGCAATCTGTACTACGAATTTTTTTTATCAAAAAAATTTAAGATTTTCACTCCTCTTTCATACACTGATTCACTAATTTCATATAAATTAATGTATTTTTTTTTGTTTTTTTTTTACTTTCAATTTTGATATAATAAACCTACCAGAAGCAGAAAATCTTTAAAAATTCCATACCCATTATTGTAAATTGTAGGTTAATATTTATCAATTATTTTACTTGTTAATAAATATCAAATTGCAATTTTCATATTGGATATAATTGCAGTTCTGTTATTAAATTACTTAAAATGACGTCATATATGAGTTACTTCATTATCTCTCTAGTTTTCTTAATTATAATTAATTTTTTTAAATTTAATATTAATCAAGAATATTTAAACTGGTTAAAAATTATTAGATACAAATTAAAAGTTGTAAGGGAGTTCATCTTATATATTCATGAAAAACTCTAAGTTTCTATAGAAGCAATAAATAATTATATTATATTTTATGAAAACAAATTAGATTATACAATTGAATAAAATTAAACATAAGATTAGTATAGAATTTCTAAAATTAAAGTTGAAAAAATGTTGACATATAGAAATAAAAGTTAACTAAGCTTTTGGTACATCAGCCTGTATATCTTGATCAACATAAAAACGTCCGATAAATTCTACTTTTCTTATCAATAAAATTCTGTCAAAATCAATTTGTGGAAAATACGGTGCCATAAATTTAGATCGAATTCTATTATTACTTTTAGTGAAATCTTATTTTTATAATCCTAGATTTTAAAAAAATTAAATAAATAAAAATTTTAACCTGAACTAATAAATGTCTTGGTGAACTGCTCTTCGATTTCTCTTGCAAAGACCGACTCTCTAGCGATTCCACTTCCAAAAGAGGCCATAATATCGGCTATTTCGGCCCATTCGGCATTCTCATCGAAAGGGCTAAGAAGTGATAAGCTGCTCCTTTGATCAGACGTCCCTCCGTCAGTCATCGTCTTCAATTTGGTGCCAACATCACCGTCTTGGAATAAATTCATCGGCCTCTTTGTTGGATGTCTGTCATCTGTACGACCATCCAAGGGACAGACGGAGCCTCGACATAAACCTGTTCGAGCACAATGACCATTGGTGTGATAATGCATATAACTAGGGTTTATGGATTATTGATTCGACTAACCGTTAACGGAAAAAAAAAATATTNAATCTTATAAAATTCTGATAAATTTCAGAGCAATTCATCCCCTAATTAATGAATTAAATATCTAATAATCTAAATAATCATAATTCATGTCAATTATTAAGCTATATTAGACATATTTATATAATAACATCATTATCTTCTCTTATAATATAAAAATGATAGACTCATTAAAACAAATATAATGTTTTATGACTCATTTTGCAGTGTTAAGTACTTAAAAATAATTACTTGTTGGATTAGAGTATTATTAGAGATGATAATATACTGGTACAAAGTGATATATTGCTAGAGTATATAGAGCTTATATTCTATAATACTACTTATTAAATATTCTTAAATGATTAAGGAGTTATGTGGGCTTGAATCTTTAGAGATTTCATAAATCGAGTGGGAAAAATCCACATTAAATATAAAGGTGAAAGGAATATAATTTTTCTTTTCAACATATTCATCTTATACATGTCCTTGTTTTTATCTTTTTATGTATTTACAGTTAATGTCTAGATATATATTTGTTTTTGCAGTTTGTTATATGGTTATACTTTGTAGCCTTTACCAGAGGGCAAACCCTGTACAGCAACTAAACTGATAACACAATAAAAACAAAGATGGAGCCTATAAAATTTCTAACATCTTTGCAAAGAATAAAGCTGCTAACTATTATTAGAACATATTTAATGCTTCATTCTAATAGATTTAGATTCCAAAAATTTATGAATAATTAATGTATACATTCAAATAAACTTACCACCAAATTCATTTAAATTAAACAATAATTTAATTTTGTTATTAAAAGAATAGAATTAAATAACATAACAACAGATCTATATTTAAAATTAATTAACAGAAGTAATAAAATTTTTTCTAACATTTAATATTAATTAATAAACTTTATCAGAATAAAAAATAATAAATTATTTATCTAAGAACTAATAATTAATTTTCTGGAATATAATAAAGGCATAGAACAATAAATAAATTTTAAAATATGCAAATAAATATTTAATTAAACACAAAAATGATGTTAGGGGTCTGAATTAACCTGCAAACCATATTCACCCCTGTGTAACCACTAACACTGTGGATAGAGTAAACTCTTGGGTTTTGTATACACATGTCTACTGTGTAAGTGCATTTATCACATTCAAATCTTTGATTTTTTCTTTCTTTATTTATAAAGATAAATGGTGCCTAGGGTTATACTACTGATTACATATATTGTAAAGTGAAATTCAACTTCTAACAATGATTTACATTATAAATATTCATTTTAATTATATTTAAATTTATACTTAACAACTATACAATTGAATATGGCATTCATTTCACATATAATAAAAGAATTAATTCGAATTTTTAATAGCAATGTCGAGATATCTAAGGATAAACTTAAACTTGGACTCCTTCCAGGGTTATTTATTGAATAACTCCGTTACTAGTCCAGACAATCTTGTAATGAATTTAATTTCTGGGGGAGGAAAATACCTTTAATTGTAATCTGAGTAATTTTCGAATGTTAAATTAATGTAGATTCATAACCTTTTAAAACAATTAAATGCACATCATCCGTAAATAGAAGAAAACTCTATTATTTTTTCAATTCTGGATCTATTTACGATTTAATTCTAAATTAACTAACTTGCCATTCAATGTTTTCAAGGTGTAATGACCTAAATAGAAATGTGTTTCAAACATCCAATGCAAGAGCTTGAAAAGTGCCAAAATTAACTTTTGACAGCAGAAAAAATATTGTATTACTTTAGTTCTAAGTAGTGTTACTAATAGCTATTTAAATAAACAAATTTAGAATATGATAAATAAGTGAGAACAAAGTCTGAATGGGCTTAAGAAATCGAAATTTAGAACACTTTTTTTATATAATGATCGAGCCGATATATGAAATGTATGGCGCTAAAATGTGAAAAAAATTTCGAAATAAAGGACGGACACCGATTATAATCCAACAACAGCTGAAGTAGCCTTGAGGCACAAGCAGCTGTTGATCAAAATAGAGCAGATCGAAAGTGATCTAGTCCACTTTTAAGTACATACGAAATGTTAATGGTATGTAATTTCATATACAGAACTCACCTAACAATTATAATTTACGACATACTTTTTTTGTACAAATCTCATGTTTTTGAAGGTGATTGTCAACACCACTGACGTCACGAGCCACGCCCAATTCTGACGTCACGGTGTCGGGCTCCCACCATTATCGTACATAGTTAAAATAGTCGAATAGGAACGTAATCTTACCTGCGAACGGGTCGTCCTCCATAATTTCTTCGATAGTATCTGTAGACACGGACTTATTTTCCTTGCGTAATGACACTCGCACGTTGCCGGAAGGATCGACGGTGGCGAACAACTCCTCTTCCGTCAGGGTCTCGATGTCACGTGACAGACGTTTCCTCTTGTACTCCTGGCATAGCAAGGAGGGGTGAAGGAAAAGTGGACGGGAAGTCAGATTGAATGTAAGGTTATCTTCCAGTCAGTCGCATAAATGTCAACATGTGTGAGTGTGGGTGGGTTGGTTGCACGTGTTAAATTGACTAGAGTCGCGTTGAGTGATAAAACGTTCGAGGGGGGAAGAAATCTTATAGCGTATTGACTAATAATGGCAAATATAACGTTATTTAAACGCGAAACTTTGAATCTTTCCAATTGAATGCGATCGAGTTACATTAAACCCAGTGTTAGTATTGTTAGATTCAGTTCTTTTTTTAGCAAAAAAAAAAAAAAAACAGAAAATGCCAAGTTCGAATTATTGTTTAAGTAGAGCAATTTATATATATATATAAATGTCTCGTGTATCGGGAGGGGGCGTTGATCTTTCAGCTGTGTTATGTCTAGTCATTTTATCATCAGATAAAACCAAATAATTGGACTGATTCGAACAGATTAAATTATTGCTAGTGATAGCATTTGTTTTTCTTTCGTAATCTCTTCGAGCATTCAGGAATATAAGCTATTTTCACATAGAAAATTATTGAAGGATATCTCAGCAGTAGTCTTGACGGTATCGCCATTGGTGTTATCAATGTATTATCACATATTAAACTCAAAAGCGTAATAGATAAGATGGGTTATAAGCATCACAATTATCAAATTATCGCCAAGAACTTTGTATTATATTACGATGATTTAAAAATCCGGTTTAAAATAACTGCTAATAATTATTATCATATAAAAATTTAGATACAGCCGAACGTCCAACAACGGCCACCCCTAAATGGCGGCCATTTTCTTAGGGGACGTTTCTCTTAGAAATGCATACAAGCAAACCTCTGAACAACGGCCAATTTTTATGTTCCCATCAATGGCCGTTGTTTACAGGTTTGACTGTTTGTGTATGAAATATTTTATACGTTGTTAAGCTGATTGTTTTCTTTTTATAAATAGAAATTAAAATTAATTTAAGACACAAAAATAAAATTAAAAAATAGATATATATTTTTATACAAATAGACATAATACATCTGAATAATTACATGTTTTTTTGTATATTTTAATTTATATATTAGTTTGATTACAATATTGTTATTATCAGGGCTTGATTAAGTCCATAATATTTATATCGTTATTGCACTTACCGTCCCGTTTACTTCTTTTAAGAAATTAACCTTAAGAAAGAAAATAAAATAATAAACTAAACCAAAAAAATAATAAATACAAGTTTAAAATAAAAATTAATTCCGTTATTTTCTGAAAAATACAGAAAATATTCGAAATTTCTTTTAAGTTTTAAAAATAATGTAGGGCATTAGAGAATTTCTAGACAATTTATTATTATTATTTATTTTTTAATGTAATGTTTTTCTCTTTTTTAAAATATTTTTCTATGTGGAAAGAGTTTTTGACAAGTTGTACTTTATCTAAAATAAACTACTCACCTGACTATCCAGGTAAACTGCTAAACGTAAATCGTCCTTTAAAATAAAGAAAATACTTTCTAAACAAAAAAAGAATGTAACAGAAAACATATTTAAATAAACAACGAGAAAAATTTAATGTTTAAATAAAGAAAAAAAATCTAAGAAAATAAAGAACACAAATAGTCGAAATTAAATTATATGTTAATAAAATTAAAAAAAAATTATATAAAGAAAAGTAACTGAAAATAATAATAAATTATTCATTCCTCTTTGGATTTTTATATGGTGGCAAAACATCAATTTTTGAAATTATTTCATATTTTTAGGGGTATTTTATGCTTCTAATGTGCATACAATAAATGTATTTTGTTATTACTAGTCATTAGATCGTCGTATGACGCCATACTACAACTTATAAGTGATGGAAATTGGATAATTGACAATTTAAAATGTATCCTTGAGTTGCGATTAAATACGAAAAAAGTAATAAAATGCTAAATTATTTGCTCAAATATGGTTCCTTCGGTGTTCTAACTAACTCCACTCGTCATATCTATGTTCTAAAGCCCACATACTTCAGCTCGTAATTTTAATATCTATCAAATTAGATGATAAATGGTATCTAATTTAAAAAAAGGACTGCCTACCTGACTTAGAGGGCGTATTTTTTCGTGTATTCCACCTGCTGCTGTAGAGGGTGAAGGGGGAGGGAAATCGGGCGTCGGAGGTTGTTGATAATGAGTAGGGCTCAATGGTATCTGTACCGTCGCTCTTTTACTCCTAAAATCTAAACTATTAGGTTTGTTGGGACGTTCATCTTCGCAGCTGGAGACTGATTGTCTACCACGTGACAAAACTGCGGGGGAGTTATGGTAACGGAAGAAAGAACTACTAAATGACGTCACTCTTCCACTAGCGATGTCATCGTAAAGAGCACTGAAAGGCGAACTCTCCGTTATCTTCCCATTCTTGTTATCTAAGCTGCCTTTCCTCTTCTTTGGCTCAGCTTCGTTGTCGGATTCGTGATGACCGTCTGATAAAGGCCTCGGCGATGTGCGTCCGCTGTTTGGCCCATGATCTCCTAATAACAGTTCGCAACTGTAACCCGATAGTCGTGTGGGCAGCGACTTGTCTATTGGAGATACTGGGGCTATAGAGCGTCTAGGTGGCTTGGCCGGCGGCTAAAATCATACACAACGTTCTCTATGATTATCACAACAAGTAATAAACTTCCTCTACAATATAAATTTATCTATATTATATTTTAAAAATTTCTTTAATAGAAAAATATAAATAATAATTAATCAAATATAACAAAAGTGGATAAATCATTAAAATATTTTAAGTTTAATTCAAAATTTAATTTAAGCCGTTGGAATTGCATTAATATTTTCGACTGAACGAATAAATTAACTTAATATAGATAACATTCGAACTCATTTAATCATGGAAATAAAAATTAATAATATATTTTTTCTTACTTCCTTTCCTCGTTTATACGTGGAAAGGAAATAAGCAAACATATTTTCGTTGAAATTTAATCAAAACGACACTTTACAAGATCATATGTACTGTACAGTCAAACCTCGATATAACGCCTCCGAAACTGGCTCTAAATGGAATATAGCGCTAAACCGAATGATCTCGAAAAATAAGAATTACATAAAACATTGATTTTTGCATTTCAAAGAGCATTGTTATCAAATCACAATGCCCTTTGCAATGCAAAAACCATAACATTTAGTAATTCACAAGGGCTGAAAGCATATCTATTTTTAATATTTTACGAAGAAATTCATTGGCGCTAAATCGAAATTTGCTGTATTTTAGAGAAAGAAATGAAATTTTTAAAATAAATTTTGTTTTCTTGCAAAAATTATTTCATCTAAATTAAACTTAGTTTTTATTTAGTGAAACAAACAGCACCAAATCAGTAGTAGGGAATAGAAAAACATTTAAACAATAGCAAATAATANCAATTTTCTAACGAACAAGAATTAGTAAATTAAATTTTAAAATGTAAATGCTTTAATTATTTAATTTTTATTATCTATATAAGTAGTAAATTTGATTTAATATTATAATCGACTTGAAAACAGTAAAGCTTTATAAATATATTAACTGCGTGTTTCCGGCGTTGTTCGAGATTTTGAGAGGTGATGATGACAAAATGATGTTAGTAAGTAATATTTACATTTATTGACCTGTGTATTTACGTTAACCAGAAACAAAACAAAAACAATTGCTATGGCTAAAGTTAAGAGGGATGGATTTTGGAGTGGTTGGGGCGGGACCTCAAGTATTTTTCATAACGTGTCAGAGAATATTCATACTAAATTTGGTGAGGATAAGTTGAATGAACGTACATAAGTTAAGAGGAGTGAGAACCCCACAGTATATTTTCTAGTATGTCAAAGAATGTTCACATGCCAAATTTGGTGTGTCTACGTTGAATGGTAGAGCCCTTTGCCTAACAAACATATATACACATTTGAATTTTAAAATATAGATTAAAATATCTACACATTTAGTAAGGACTCATCAGTAAAGAATTTTAAAAATTTCAAAATTTCATTCTTACTGTTATGAATGTAAACAGTGTTTCAAAATTATCCGAGTAAACTTTTTTAGGGCTACTGACACAAAGTCTGTAATTTAAGTTTATTATTTCGCTCATTTATTGTATATCTTTGCTTTATTTTTATTTTGTTTATCTATTCTAAAACCTCGTAATTTTTTAGACTTTTAATTTTAAAATTGTGTTCTATATTTCATATTCCAATCAGTTAATGTTCGATCTTGAAGATGGCTGCCTAAACGGCAGAAAACGTTCGATAAATCAAGTATTTGTGCTGGCAGAGGCTTAAAGTGTTTTTATTTAAACTTTTTTTCAAGCAGAATATAAAATATATAACTTAAAACTGTTATTTTATACAATTTTCATCATATATAAAGGTGTTTAAACTGTAATTCTGCACTTTTTTTAGTAAGTGGAGAATGTATAAAAAATTACATTGTATCATATTTCATTTAAGTTGTTTTTAGATTATAAAAAGGACATATAATTTTATAATTTTTTTTTTTATTTCTACTGACAGATCTTGATAATTAAAGCTATATATAATCTTACTAATTATCAATTACGTCCAAATAGTAAAATAAAAATTAAATTAATTCATTTAATTTAATTTTTATTTTCTTGATTTACACTTAATATCATTTCAAAAACACTGATAAAGCTCATTTTTAATGTTTTTTTTGTTCGAAATTATCTTGAAAAATAATGAAAAAATTGAATAAAAAAACAAAAAATGAATTTACATTCTACAGTTTTTCAAAATTTCAACATAATAATTATGTTATTTGTATTTAATATTTTTATCATAAACAACTTAAGAAAATTATTTTACAGAAAGAAAAAATAACACCTAAATTGAAAAACTGAAGTATTTATCTAATAGATTTTTATCAACAAAACTTATAAAATATTTTTATATATATTTCAAGTTGACAGTTTCCTAAGTGTTCCCCACAGCTGGATCTCATCATATAAAATGCACATTGTAAGTAGCAATTCTTGGTCCTTCTTTCCAGCAGAAAAAATAAAATTGACTGCAACGCTACACTTCAAACAATAAACAATTTTATCATCGCAAACGAAATATATCAGAAAACTCACTACTAGTCATGGTCGATGGAGAAAGTGAAGTAACGGTATCCGATGATGTCACTGTTACGTCACGGAAAGCATGTGGCGCTTGGATAGGAGAGTTCATCGAGCCTGAAGGGGTGCAGCTACCAGTAGATGCTTTGTCTAAAGTGCTATCAAGAGATTTCGATAAGAGGACAGGGCTTGTCTGATGAGCATCATTACCACTTCCCCTATTTACGAGAAAAAATATGTTGGCTTACATGTAGTAAGAATTTATAAGGGAAGAGAGAGAGTAAAAATGAAATGTTTCAGTTTATATGAAAAATTTAACTTATCAATATATAACGCTACTACATTGTAAGGACGGTTAAGACCGTTATTTTTTATTATTTTTTATTTATGTTTTCCGACATAAGTTTACCTAAGAAATAAATATGTTGTCGTAAATATTTACTTACGCGGATGATCTTTTATTGGACATAGATAATTTATACTGATGAATAGGGCCATCAATGTGATTTATTTCAGATAATGGAGACCTAGTCATCCTAGGGGGAGAAGTACCATAAGATCCACTACTACCGTAGGGACTGGGAAGAAACCCATGAGGAGATGACAAGTTGCTTGATACTTCAGTACCTTCATCTTCAGGAGTAACATGTCCTAACAAAAGAAATAAAAAAAATTTGAAAAATGTAGATAACCTTTACATTATTACAATATAAATTCAATCTAAAATATTTATATTATTTAGAGACATGGTGATGATGACAAAATGATGTTAGTAAGTAATATTTACATTTATTGACCTGTGTATTTACGTTAACCAGAAACAAAACAAAAACAATTGCTATGGCTAAAGTTAAGAGGGATGGATTTTGGAGTGGTTGGGGCGGGACCTCAAGTATTTTTCATAACGTGTCAGAGAATATTCATACTAAATTTGGTGAGGATAAGTTGAATGAACGTACATAAGTTAAGAGGAGTGAGAACCCCACAGTATATTTTCTAGTATGTCAAAGAATGTTCACATGCCAAATTTGGTGTGTCTACGTTGAATGGTAGAGCCCTTTGCCTAACAAACATATATACACATTTGAATTTTAAAATATAGATTAAAATATCTACACATTTAGTAAGGACTCATCAGTAAAGAATTTTAAAAATTTCAAAATTTCATTCTTACTGTTATGAATGTAAACAGTGTTTCAAAATTATCCGAGTAAACTTTTTTAGGGCTACTGACACAAAGTCTGTAATTTAAGTTTATTATTTCGCTCATTTATTGTATATCTTTGCTTTATTTTTATTTTGTTTATCTATTCTAAAACCTCGTAATTTTTTAGACTTTTAATTTTAAAATTGTGTTCTATATTTCATATTCCAATCAGTTAATGTTCGATCTTGAAGATGGCTGCCTAAACGGCAGAAAACGTTCGATAAATCAAGTATTTGTGCTGGCAGAGGCTTAAAGTGTTTTTATTTAAACTTTTTTTCAAGCAGAATATAAAATATATAACTTAAAACTGTTATTTTATACAATTTTCATCATATATAAAGGTGTTTAAACTGTAATTCTGCACTTTTTTTAGTAAGTGGAGAATGTATAAAAAATTACATTGTATCATATTTCATTTAAGTTGTTTTTAGATTATAAAAAGGACATATAATTTTATAATTTTTTTTTTTATTTCTACTGACAGATCTTGATAATTAAAGCTATATATAATCTTACTAATTATCAATTACGTCCAAATAGTAAAATAAAAATTAAATTAATTCATTTAATTTAATTTTTATTTTCTTGATTTACACTTAATATCATTTCAAAAACACTGATAAAGCTCATTTTTAATGTTTTTTTTGTTCGAAATTATCTTGAAAAATAATGAAAAAATTGAATAAAAAAACAAAAAATGAATTTACATTCTACAGTTTTTCAAAATTTCAACATAATAATTATGTTATTTGTATTTAATATTTTTATCATAAACAACTTAAGAAAATTATTTTACAGAAAGAAAAAATAACACCTAAATTGAAAAACTGAAGTATTTATCTAATAGATTTTTATCAACAAAACTTATAAAATATTTTTATATATATTTCAAGTTGACAGTTTCCTAAGTGTTCCCCACAGCTGGATCTCATCATATAAAATGCACATTGTAAGTAGCAATTCTTGGTCCTTCTTTCCAGCAGAAAAAATAAAATTGACTGCAACGCTACACTTCAAACAATAAACAATTTTATCATCGCAAACGAAATATATCAGAAAACTCACTACTAGTCATGGTCGATGGAGAAAGTGAAGTAACGGTATCCGATGATGTCACTGTTACGTCACGGAAAGCATGTGGCGCTTGGATAGGAGAGTTCATCGAGCCTGAAGGGGTGCAGCTACCAGTAGATGCTTTGTCTAAAGTGCTATCAAGAGATTTCGATAAGAGGACAGGGCTTGTCTGATGAGCATCATTACCACTTCCCCTATTTACGAGAAAAAATATGTTGGCTTACATGTAGTAAGAATTTATAAGGGAAGAGAGAGAGTAAAAATGAAATGTTTCAGTTTATATGAAAAATTTAACTTATCAATATATAACGCTACTACATTGTAAGGACGGTTAAGACCGTTATTTTTTATTATTTTTTATTTATGTTTTCCGACATAAGTTTACCTAAGAAATAAATATGTTGTCGTAAATATTTACTTACGCGGATGATCTTTTATTGGACATAGATAATTTATACTGATGAATAGGGCCATCAATGTGATTTATTTCAGATAATGGAGACCTAGTCATCCTAGGGGGAGAAGTACCATAAGATCCACTACTACCGTAGGGACTGGGAAGAAACCCATGAGGAGATGACAAGTTGCTTGATACTTCAGTACCTTCATCTTCAGGAGTAACATGTCCTAACAAAAGAAATAAAAAAAATTTGAAAAATGTAGATAACCTTTACATTATTACAATATAAATTCAATCTAAAATATTTATATTATTTAGAGACATAATCGAACTACCTTTTATAATTTTATATGTTTGCCTAGCAATATTAGTGTTTAAATCTTTTAATAAATCATAAACAGTTCTTTTAAGTCCGTCCTGAAGGCTTGTATCAATACCTAAAATGTAAAATAAAACTATAATTTAATGATATATTTAAAAAAATTAAATTAAATAAATAAATTGGCAGACGGTAGTTAAAACTTTATCACAATACTAGGAATTCGTAATCATTGTTAAACCAAGGTCAACGTCCCTCCTTCTCTATTATAAGCGTCAACTTATGAAGTTAACTTCAAAATTAAAACTATCACGCGATAAAATGTCACGAAAAGTAATAGGTCTCAGATTTATATCAACATTACTAATGAACGTTAAGTAGGCTGATTTTCATGTTTGTGCTACCAAACGAAACGAAATTTATTAAGGTAAAGGATACGCTTATTGATCAGATGATTCATGGTTAGATGAATGGAAAATTTCTTCATTAAATTAAGCAACATTTTTTTTTAAATGTACACTAGAAACTCTATTATCCGACTCCTGACGGATAATGGAATTACTCCTAACAGTACAGAAATATTAATGTATTAACCACAATTAATATAAATCCTGTAAGTACAGTACTGTACTGTACTGTGCTGGACACTGTGCTGTAAATAAAGTTTCTTGATTGTACAGTTCCTGTACAATCAACAAACTTTATTTACAGCACAGTGCAATATCTCAACTAGCATACTGTACGGAAATAGAGGTTTACATATAGTAAAATTCAGTATAGTATGTACTGTACAGTACTTCATTACAGTAATAAAAAAAAATACAGTAAATTGCATATATATTTGAAATTTATAGGCCTATATATACAATAAATATATACCGGATATATACAAAAATTCTAGGAGGTAGGTAATTAATAATGCATATAAATAATATCTAATTTAATATTTTATTAGGAGTTATTACTATGCAATAAGTTTATCATTTTAAAAATAAAGCAATAAAAATGCAGTTATTTAAAAATATTTTTAAACTTAAATCTATTATATAATGACATATTATAATTTATATTATTTAAAACGTTACGAATGACCTTATGAATTTTAAATCAGGCTAAATTTTTATTCATAAATGAAAATAAAGCGAAAATATGATTTAAAAACTGCCAGGAAATTCTAATAAAATAATGTATTACTAATTACTGAAAAGCTGTTGTAATAACAATATATTACAGTTAAACTCTGTTATTACGTTAACGATTTATGCGAAGTAGATTTGCAGTCCAGTGGACGAAGTAGGATAAGCATTTCAATGTTAACGAGTTTGTTAATACAAATTTCGTTAATATAAAGTGCAGAATTTTGTCCCTTCGACTTTGTTTTAACGGGGATTGACTGTATATTGAATACATAATTTTTTATATCGTTAATTTAATACCATATAAACTCATTGACAAAAAAGTTAGGCACCCAGACAGAATTGTCTGATTACTGTAAAATTCGACCTGTCTTTTACAGATGACAGGTAATGTCACTGGTACCTTAAAATCTCTACTCCCAGTATCCTACAAAGCGAATTTTCAGTATATCTGTTGTTTGCGTGCCTTCAAACGCTAGGCATGCCTTTATGACGCAGTCAAAAGCACAACTGATAGAAATTGAGAAACCGCATCATCGGGCTTAAGAAAGCAGGATGACGGTTTCACCGAAATGTCTATCATCTGGGCCGTTCTGACCTGACTATGAAGAGGTGTTGAGGTAATGAATACGTGAGAGCACATAAACACTGTGGCCACGCTTTGGACATTCCAGACAGACCACCAGAAAATACGCTCGTCTGATCATGAGACAAGCATGAATAGCTTCAACAGTATCAGGCTGAGCGGTCAAGTTGGCAGCCTACTGCTCTTGGGGACCCGGGATCGAATCCGGACGGGTCGAAAAATCCCCAGGAATTTTTCGGGGGTTTTCAGTCCTGATATGTTGAGCTCCATTCTTCACCACCCGGCCGCCCCATTGTGGGTCTGGCCGAACCCATAATGCGCTTGCTAAAAGAAGCCCTCTTAGTACCCACTGGGCAAAAAGAGTTAAAAAAAAGTTTCAACAGTATCATTACCCGTTCCCTACTATTAGTAGGCGACTAGCAAAGGAAAATTTGCATGCACGGCGATTACTAGGCGTCCTGTCATTAGTGGTGCCGTAACAGAGAAGCGTGAACTGACACAAACTGGCAGCATATTGTCTTCAGCGACGAATTACGGTTCTGTGTGTAGACAAACGACTATCACATGTTAGGTGTACAGGACTACTGACAAGTATTTAAGTCCTGCCTTTACAGTTGAGTGGCACACTAGGAGACCCATTTTATATGATAGTCAGTCACCTCTAATAGTAAGTAATACGAGGGGCATTAACGGCACAGTGGAAAGTTCAGAAAATCCTGTGCCCTCGTGCGTTGCCTTTTATAACAGGACTGCAAACAGCCATTTTCTTGGGAAATTCTAGCTCTGTGCAGTTGAACACAGCCAGGGTTTTCCAGGAATGTTTCCGTCACGTTGCCATCCCTCATTGGCCTGCCTGTCTCCAGATTTCTCTCTCATCGAGCATTTGTGGAAACAGATGGGAGGGGACGCAGCTTTGGCCATTTACAAGTGTGGCAGCTGCAACATCTGAGGTCAAATCTATTGTAGAATACAGACATTCTGTATGCCTCCATTCCCGACCATAACGTCGCATGTATCCAGACAAGAGAAAATTCTACAAAGTACTAAAAGTTCCATTAAATTGATTAAATTGTTGTTCCTCAGGAAATTGTTTTTTCTTTTCTATGATATTGTAATCACTTATTACATTGCCAATTTGTTCGCACTAATAAAATTTCGTTTAATTCCATGCCTCTTGGTGATAAGGGATTTTTTTAATATCAACGAGTGAAAGTTATACATAATAAATCATCATGATAAGTATGTAAGCCTATATATACATGTAATCAGCCATCTTTTTGCTCAAGTTCCACAACTCTGCTTCAAATTGTTATTCTGTGTAAACATCTGAATAGGAATGACTACATTTTGTATATAATGGTTAAAAAATGCAGAACATGCAAATGCTTTCAAATCATAAAAATTTATAGCAAAGAATTAACGCCTGATACCAAGATATTAAATCAAAAATAAAAATCTTACAGAATTACTACAGGTATAAATTATTCTCTAGAGTATCTACATTTATAAAGCATAAAATTAGATTCTACTGTTAACTATATATATAATTTTTTTTAAAATACTCTTTGCCTTGTAGGCACTGAGGCTTTTATTTTTATGAAGCCCACAATGGATCGGCCGGCTGATGAGGGATGGGCCCGACCAATGTGACACTTTTTTTTATCCTTTATATTCATTCATATCAATTAGGCATATAGATATTTCTCCTATATTAGATATAATTTGCTAAATATTCAGAATATTTACTAAAGAAATTACAAAATTAATTTTTTTATTATTTATCAATTTAAACCTTTAAAAAACATTACAAAACGAGGAAAAATAAAAGTTTTTATTAGCGATTTTAATGAAACAGCTTACGTTAAAATTTTCTATATATAAGTTTTCTTTTATAATATAATATAACAGAAAAATAGCTTTAAAAACACCTGAAAAATTTTATTGACAAAAAATATTTATGAATCACAGACTATAGAACTATGAATTTGTGTTTATTTACCGTAAATTTTAAATTATATTCAATCAAAATAAACGAAAAATATATATTATATAAAACCTATATTGTATCTAGAACGAGAAAGTAAACAATAAAAGTCGATATTAAATTCTCCTATCCAAATGAGTAAATATTGAACATACTACGTTCAATATTTAGTTGTCTGGATATAAATAAAAACAAAAATGTCAATTAAATAAGTGTAATTTGTAACTTAATAAATGAAATACTAAACTTCATTATGTATTTTATATGCCAATTTTTAAACTTTAAATTAAGAAATTAAAAGCAGAAAAAACGATTTAATTATAATATATTTTCAGTCAGTAAGTAGCTTACTCTATAACGAACAGGTATAATACTTCACTTATATCTCAAATTTTTATGGCTATGTAAATTTTTTCCAACTTTATAAACATTGGAAATATATACTGCAGGTAGTAATAAAACAGATTATATTTATCTTACATGCTTAGCAACGTGTAAACACACGTAATAAGATTACATGTTGGAATGTTTTGATCTTGGCATGTTTATTCTGCAATTCTATTTGCATGCTTTCAAAAATAAATTAAAATAAAAATTTCTTTTTGGAAAAATAAAATTAAAATACCAAAAAATAATTATGTAATTACAGGGTCATACTTATGCCTAGGCAAACTAGGTAACTAATAGAGCCCGGATATGACATGAACCTGTAAATCGATTTGTAAATCCACCTATAAATAAATAAAATTTTACGTGTATAGTGAACAATGTAAACATAGTTTCTCCATGAAATTTCAGTGATAAATATAACAAAATTATTGACTGTTTTTTGCTTAGTGCTCGGAATTTCTCTAAATCGTAACTGATATTTACAGATTACTATACGATTCAACAGACAAATAAAACTCAAAATTTCATAAAACTTTCGAAAAATAAATAAATAAGCTATACTGTATAGCTTATACATTAATTTGAAAAATTTAAAATCATTATAAAATTTTTAAACAAATTTTCCTACTTTCCTCTAATTTTTATTAGTATATTACAATTTTTTCTTGAATATTTTTCAACGAAAACTATATATAAATAAAATATTAAACAAGATGATGAATAAATGTCCAAAGCTCTCTGTAGAAGATATTGTTGGAAAAATCTCAACCAAATTTGATATGCATACCGTCCTGAATATACTGTTTCGGTCTTTTGAAAAAAAATCCAACTTCAAAATTCAACCACTAGGGCGAAAGTTAGCTCTGCTGTTCCTTAAAGTGCACATTACGTATGTTTTCCAACGAATTTCAAAAGTTAAGAAACAAAGTGCTATAATTTTATTTCAATTACAGGTACAGATTCGTCAGCGCCAAATTTCACCCTAGCGGCTGAATTTCGAAGTAATTTTTTTTCGAAAATAGAAACAGCATACAAGGACAGTATGTACACCAAATTTGATTGTGATTTGCTCAATTCTTATTTCTACAAAGAATTCTGAATACCTACAATTTCATTTTCTGTTCTGAACATAGTAAACAGAAATCATATTTTTTAAATATAAATTTCACCTGTAAATGATATTATAATACAAGTATTATTTGCAACTGTTACATTACTCTAATGTCAAAAATTAATTTACGTTTATTGATATCAAAATATCTTAGGCGAATATCAGTTAAAATAAGATAATTCTGTAACATTACGCGTTACTAGAAAATAATACTTCTACCGATTTTAGAAAATTATTATCGGAAGTATTATTATTTTCTACGAACGCACATTTTCCGACATACCTCTAGCTTAATTTTCTCTTTTCGTAAAATTTATATTTGATGTTTTTACTCTAGTTCTAATAACAATTTTAGAATAATAAATAATTTAATCGGGAGATTTCGTAGAATCATGTCTGTTAAACACCAATATTATATACTAAAAAAAATGGTATACTTATATATACGACTTGCTTAGCTTGAAATATCTTTTAGGACATTGACTTAAACTGTTTCAATGCATTATAGTATATGTTAGCGTGACTTTGTAAGAGAAAAACAATTGTTATTGTATTCGAAAGAGGATGACTTACTTATTTTACTTTGTTTCACCTTTCAATCTCTCGCAGTTTATCAGATACTTCGACTCATAAGCTAGCTGAAGAAAATTATAAAGCATTTTCTTGTTTTTTTGTTAAGTTTCACAGACAAAATATATAATCAAAATATCAGTATGAGCGTGAGTATATGTGAGTTTTGAAATTCCATGGACGACTGACGTATTTTTTGATAAATGAAGTCGTTCATGGAACTTCATTTGTTTGATATTTTTCTGTATAGAGTAGGTAAAAATAATCTCTCTCTCTCTCTCTCTCTCTCTCCCTCTACTTTTAAGTAGGAAATATTTAAAAATCACTTCAAATTGTTTTAATATAACTTAGTACAAATTAAATTAGTTTTGTCGTTTTTAAGATACAGGTTATTATCTATACTAGTGATACAAAGCAATGCAGTTAATCAATAGACGAACACAGGGAGCTAGATGGGAAGCTGGGGATTTTTCCCCGTCCTAGAGAAAAATCTGTAGTGATTCTTACACTCCAATAAATAAAATCTTTAAGAGTGTTATTTATTAATAAAGAAACATTCTACGTATTTATATATGTTCAAAAAACGCCCAATATCAAGCTTTTAATAACCTTGGACGAACATTACATTAGCATTTGTGAATACAATTAATCCGATCTAAATTAATTTAGAATATCATCAAACTACTTACAACAATGAAATTCGAATAATGTAAATTAATTTTTAAATTATTACACCCCTTTCTATTAATTTGAAATTTCGTTATTTAGTATTTTAATATGAAAATACACACACATATACATCAAACAATATAGTCTAGTTTCAATTAATTAAAAACATTACCTACAATAAGAATGAGTTTTGTTATTATTCCGAAAATATAATTTGGATAATATCTCACTCATTTAAACTTAATATAATCTTACAATCTTGTTTCTTAATCACTTTCTGTTAATTTGATATAAAAATATTTTAAAAATCGTTTTATTTTACATTATTTAAAATGTAATTTAGTCCCTAAGCATTTTTATGCAATAAGACTCCTCACCTTGTATGATACAACTATGATATCAATAAAATTTTCAGCATCCAAATCCAAATAAAACCTTGCAGAAAGTAAATTTTTATTTAGATATTGTGATAAAATGATAAATATGTTGAATATGTGTGCCAACAATATCTGAAGTTTAATTTTTTCTGAGTTATATGTATAATATAGGTAACATTAAAATTTAGATATTGTTTATACTGTATTTAAGAATAATTTTACTTAATAAATTACTAGAAATGATATTTAAAAAGAATTCTATTCGGTTTTCTGATTGTATTTTAATTTATTTTACATTATATTTTATAATATATATATTATATAGGCCTATACACTGTAGCATATAAGTGATATACCAGAAAACTCGCATATTTTCAAAATTAATATTAAAAAAATTAATAAAATATAATTTATGTTCCTACTCATTAAGTTTAAAATTTGTTTTTTAAATTTAAAATCTTCTTAAACAGAATACCTGCGTCAAGAAGGAGTTTTACAACTTCTACTTTCCCATAAAGAGCTGCCTCGTGTAACGAAGTACCACTATTAGTCTGAAAAATTAATAAAAATATTTATTTACAACAGAGAAAGTTACGAAAAAAAACAACATTCAAGTACAGTATAGATATTTAAAGACAAATTATTTAAATAAATAACAATGATATATACCAAATAATTAACTTCAAATCCGGCATCTAAAAGCACTTTAACAACTTGTTTATGGCCATTCCTGGATGCCAGATGAAGTGGCGAATGTTTTTTTACTCTGTCTTGTATTAGATGCGGATGACGATTTACCAACAACTCCACGGTTTCCAGCCGACCATACTGAGCAGCTAAATCTAATGGAGACTCTTCTTTTATATTCCGGACACTTGGATTACTGTTGTGCTGGAAACAAAACAAATTCTCACAAAAGGAAATAATTTAACTTACACAGTGCCCATCTCATTGTAATGTACTGTATAATTTTAAGCTTTGTAGAAAAACGTTAAAGCTTCGTTTTAATTATAAGACCATAAAAATTCAATAAATCTTACATATAATAAAATTAGCTTATTTTACCTTTAACAGAAGTGCTACAACTTCAGTGTGTCCGTATTGGGCGGCTGAATGCAGTGGAGTTTCTTGATCGTGATTCTATAAATCACATAAAATCATAATTAAATATTTATAAAAAGTAATTTAGTAATTTACAAACTAATTTATTTTTATTGCTTTTGTTCATTGTAAAGTCTTCTTTCACTCAGTTGCCACATAAGTCTATCTTAGAACTTCACATAATTAATAATAATAAGAAAATGTTAAAAGCTACAAGATAGAAATGAAGATATTAAAGAAATGATTGTCATTTTTCCAAAAGTTAATATTATAAAAAGCAAATAAACTTTTTAGCTGAAACACTCAATTAGTTTTAATTTACACAATATTACAATATTAATACTATACACGATTTAAATTAAATTTACACTAAATGACACCATTACCAATATTCAATTTCTTTGTACCAGAATTATATGAAATTAATGACTATAATAATTATTTACATTTAATTATAATTATCATATATACAAGTCTCACTGAGTAGAAAGAGACTAATATTATAATCTTTTTTTTCAATGCTCAGTGTTAGTATTATTCAAAATGCAGCGTGTATTAACTGGATGAATTTCGTAAAATTTTAGATTTTTTGTTCGAATCTTAATAGGAAAAATATATTATATGTCTGATTCTAATTTAGCCCCTATCGATCGACAGACAGAGCATCACTGTACTCGAGGGATGTTTATAATTACAGCGACTGTCAAGAGCCACTATTTAATCACAAGTATATGTATGATCTAATTATATTATACACAGTGAAACCTGTGTAAACCGGACTCGTACGGTACCGATTCTTGTTCAAAACGGCAGACCCGATCAGACGGACTCCGTTTTGAAGAGGTTTCTTTTTTAACGTAGAAAATCGCTGCCTTCCTATGAATTTTTTCTGTTTAGGCAAGTTTCCGTTTTAGACAGTTTTACTGAATAACTATTGTAAAAATATATTAAATATCTTTACTAATTTTCTTAGAAAAATAGTCTTTTTATAATCATATGTTTAAGAGAAGATGCACGCATATTGACTTTATATTAGACCTATCACGACATTAAATTTAAAGTTCAAAATTGATATAACTAGTTAGTAATTTTTTTAATATACATTTTCGCTGCTACTATATGAATGACGAGATAGTGCGAAAACCAGTAATATCTGAGCGAAACTTTTTTCACTCTGTTGCCGTTTTATTGCAACAAGATGGCAATAAAATGGCAGCCAAGTGAAAAAATTTTCTGTATTCTTTCTTTATAAAAAAAAGATAGCGGTTATAAACAGTGATAGAAAAATTTGTCCAGAGATAAAGTATTAATTCTAATTAAATTAAAGATTTTATCTGACTTATCCTTCCATGAATATATTTTGAAACTATTCATATCTAGGGAGAAAGAAAAAATAACTTTTAATTCAATAAGATATCCCAGTAAATTTTTTTATATCACATCTTTGTATTGATTATTTTTTTATATGGCACATACATTTACTAATATATAACATACAAAATGTGTATTATATTATATTAGTTTATACAGTAAAACCTGCCGAAACGGAAATCTGCTAAACAGAAAAAATTCTTCGAAACGGAGCGATTTTCTTATGTTAAAAGAAAAGTCTCTTCAAAACGGAAACCTGCCAAACCAGAAAAAATATTTGGTACCGTGTAATTCCGGTTTACACGGGTTTTACTATATATATACTTCTACAAATCATATATAATAAATTCAATTTTGCAGAATATAAAAGAGATTATATATTTAGGCTATATATTAATTTTAAATAAGTAATTTAAATTTATATATATTAATATAGTATCAGAATGAAATAAATATGAAGAAAATATTTTAAATTCTACGAATAAACTTAAGTGATTTAAATATAGAATTTAACAGAGAAAATTAATTTCAATATAACCCGAAACGATTTCCTTTGTTGCTTAGAACAAATGAGAATAATGAATATAATAGCAGCAATAAAATATAACTTTCATTAAAATTATTAATATTCCAGGAATTGAAAATTAAACTAAATATTCCTGTATTACAGAAAGGGAAATTTAAATATGGTGTTTTGCTTCAGAATTTATTCAATATATTCGAAAATAATTGTGAACTTTTCCAGTTTCTGTTATTAAATAAATTGTATTTTTATCATCACATAGGACAGGAATAAATTCTTAATCCAGAATTTTTTTCCGGTTACTGTTTAATTTTCAAATGGAAATTAGCAGAGCGATGGATATAATTATATTTTACTGCTAAAACGTATGTAAATCACATTATTGATAAATGAATTTATTGAATGTTTGCGAGAAAAATATAAAATATAAAGTCATATTTTTGCTTTTTAGTTTACATTTCTAACAGCACACAATAGCCGAGTGGATATAACCACTGAACACTGGACACTGGTTAGCGCCTCACAACGGGATGCCACGTGCAGTTTTCCGGATTTTTTTCACGTTTCTAACACCAAAATAGGGGTCATTTTCCCACAGAAAGTCCTTCCCCCTTGTTGCAACGCAACACGAGGGCGATCTGCTAACGGGAATCATCAAACATTTCTATTTGTTAAAATAAACCTGCAACACGGAAGATTATGTTTAAAATTTAACAGGAATTTCATCTCATCTCTGTATTAAATTTTTAACAGAAAATTTCGCATATCAATTATATAAATAACCAATTTTTAGTAACTAATATAAGTTTGATTTTCGATTTTACATTACACATAGTGTGACTCCGAATTGCACAGATCGAATACCTCGCTACACTTAAATGTTTACATTAATATAAATACATAAGGGCTTAACAGAATCCTACATCATTCGTGATATAATGAAATGATAAAGTACTGGTAATACCTCATAACCGTTAGACGTGACGCATATTCGATCTTTGATTGGTTGAATACGGAAAACACATAACGGTAAGTGCCCGGAAGTACTTGCTGTAAATATCTTATTGCGATTGTTCAAATAGTATTATGACTTGCAACTTAACGTATAGAACTTAACTTTATAACTTAAGTTGCCAGTCAGTCTTACCAGTATTGAACTTCTAAATTGGATTGGATTTTTTATTTTTATGGGCCATCGGTGCGTGTGGACTGTATACGCTGACCTGAATTTTACTTGTTACGAAATTAATCCTCAATACGGCAGGTCAACATAACAGTAGAATAAGGAAACGAATACCACCATCCGAATTATTCATAATAAATTATGAGAATCCAAAAGCGATTCAAACTACATCTCTCGGAGTTAGTTCGAATTCCTTGTGGATCTTCATAGTTTACTATATGTAAGACGATAGGGGGAAAAAACCTTATCAACGAGGTATACGTATGATGAAATAAAATGTAAGGTATTTCAGCAAATTATTAATCGAGAGATTAATTTTTAAATATTTTTTGGTTCGTTGACTCGCTCGGATTCGATCCCGGGTACCCCAGAGCGTTAGGCTAGCACCTAAACCGCCGTCAAGAGAAATTAATATTTGAAAAACATTACTAAAAAACTATTATTTTGCTCATTTTTCATTAAAATTGTTTATACTTAAATTATTACAGGTTTTAAATATTTTAACAAAAGGTACATTAATAAGAAAACACTTGGATTATTTTAAGATCATATCAAACAGAATGATTCGGCATTAAAAACAATAATAAAAAACGTTAAATATTTATCTGAATATCAGCATATTTTATTTAAAAGTCATTTCTATAAAAAACAATCCAATTATTTTGAAATTTTCGATTGCAAGAGACTTTACTGCATATATATGAATTTATACAGCCCATTGATTATCTAATAGCAATAATCTAAATAATAATGTACAATAGACTCTCACTTCTATTAATTAATTGCTTTCAGAAATTTATAGTTATTAGCTAAAGAGAGGACCAACATATAATATGACATTTTTTTTATAATATTAACATAAAATATGGAGTATATATAAGACGGTAGGAGTAAAGTAAGATATAGACATGTTATAGGATATAATCATCATAAAAGTGAATTTTTAAAGCAAGAGACTGTTAAAGCAGGAGATTTACTATGACTAAAATGTTTGCTTTCTCTTATTTTTATTATTTTACAAGAAATTAAATATTAAGAAAGTAACTATGGCTATTTTTAAAGATCTAAACATATATTTTCATGCAAAAAATACCAAGTAAAATTTTCGCAGTAACTAATATTTATAACTTTTCTTCACTTCTATCTGATTATTCGAAGATAAGAGAGCAGAATATTTAAATTTTAAAGTAAACAGTAAAAAAATTCCGTAATTCATAATTTAAAACTTCTCATTTTAATAAATGGCCATTTACATTATTAATTTTCTTTCTAACAGGTATATGTTTAAAGGATATTTTATATTAATAAAATAAAGCATATTTTTCAAGTTTATCTTAATAACCTTCCATTTATATGCGTTATTTTTTATTTAATTAAATTATAGTTATATCTAATAGTTATGTTAAATCTCTCTTCAACAATATCTCAGTAAATCTTTTTCTTCATACAAGATATTCTTTCAATTTAATAATACAAATTGTGTATCAAGAACAGTCCATTCACTGATTAATTCGTTAATTTTATTATGTTTCAGCAAGAATACAGCATTAAAAATAATTCTGTCGACATGTTCTAGACTTTAAAAAAATCCAAACGTCACGCACTAAATGCAGATTAATGTAAATTTGGTCTTTACCGAATAAACTCGTAAACATGTTTTTATAAATAGAGAACTATTGAACATAACGATTGCATAATAATGTTTAGTTTTATGTCAGCTTTAAATTGTTCAATTAAATTTATGTCAGGATGTCATTAGTTAATAATCTAATCCTGTACGACGATAAAATTCTAATTGAATCAGACAAAAACGTTTGAAAAATAAGTGGGACCTATTACAATTAATAAAATATTTTAATCCTCAACAAAAGATATATTCTCCCTTTAAAACCTTTCTTTAAATAATGCACTAGAGGACTGACAAGGAAATAAAATAACATTTAAAAATTGTTTAGTCTTCATTCTTTGATAATATACTATATATTGAAAGCAATAATTATATACACTAAAAAGTATAATATTCTTTTAATTTTATTCTTGTATATTCATATACAAATTTTCATTTATATAGTACAGCATTCATAATACACTGAAAATAGAAGCAATCGTTAACCATACATTCTGAAATCTGTAATTTTGCTACGGATATCTTCAACTTCTTATCATAAAAATCCAGCAACTAGTTGTCTAACTTTTCCTGGCAACATTTTGTGGCGCCATCTGTTATCATATTTTAAAAACTTTTTATATTTTAAGTATAGTATTATAAAATCACAAAAAGCTTAATTTTGAGGGTAGGGATGGGTTTTATAAAAAAATGTAAATGCTAATAACGAGTAAAATCGTCATTAAGACCGACCCTAGTAGAGATACACACGATTCCCTTTATCTCTCCACCCCTTGACCTTTAATCACCAAAATTTAATAGCACCAATCCCCCTAATAAACAAATTTTTCTGCATAATTTCAAAAATTTTCGACAAAAAGAACCGTTATTAAGCTTCAAACAAAATGAACAAAATCGTGCCACCATACACTAACATTCATACATACAGAAAATAAACCCCGAATTTTTTACATTTCTCGACGTTTCAAGATGTCCTGATCCAAAAATGTAAAAATCTTGGGGCGAGATCATTTATTGACAGATCGCCACACTTTCCCTCTGTTATATATAATAGTCCGGAAAGTAAAAATGATATCTTTATATACTAAAGATACACAAGATGTTTTTATGAAGGTAAAAGGCATCTTTAGTTTACAATACCATTATTTTTCCGGGGATAAGGTTATGAGCTCCCTCTAAAGTAAAAGCATACTGTAAACATACTGTAAACTTTATACAATTTTTCTTTTACAATTTATGATTATAAATATGCAAAAGTACTAATTATCAGTGAATATAAAGCTCAATAGTTTCTCTTTATATAAAGTTTTTTCTATTTGTTGTGATAAAAAAATCACTCATTACAATAAAATTCTTTTCTGCAACTCTTTTCTAATTGCAGAAACGGTTGTTTCTTCATTTTCTTCAATTCAGTAATTGAAGGAAATGAAAACAATTTCTAATTTTCTAATTTTTCTGCCACTATCCATACAACAAAGAAAACAGAAAATAAAATCAATGGACCGAATTCAAATATTTTAAAAGCCAAAATGTGACTAAGAGTAATTACCTATTACTAGTAAATATGATCACAAATTTTCCATAGGATTAATAAAATATAAACAATATTAAAAAATGAATTGTGGACACACTTAATAAAATTATTGTGAGGTTTAGTTTTGTCAATTATTTCTTATTAATACAAAAATTTATGCAGAGCTTATTAAAGCAAATAAATAATTTCAATTATATAACACAATTCATATAAATTAATTCTATAAAATAAATGTTCATTGAACAATCTAATTATAAAAACAAGAATCATTTTTTTAATAATTGATAATAAATGGTTTTCTCACATTATTTCACACTTCTTTGAATACAAAACGATTCTCATTAATTAACTGAAATTTCAAATTAAGATTATTAATATTCCACTTTGATCAAATAAATCTCAATAGTTTCAAAACAATAAGATATAAAACAAATTAATTATTTATAATTCTAAGAAAAATAATTCTCTTATTTAATTTGATAAAATTAAATTTCAAGTTTCATTTCATTAAAAAAAATTGTAGTTTGTTGAATAGATTTTTATAGTGAAGATTATGGAGATTATAAAACAAAATGGGAAAATTATATTATAATTTCAGATTTAAAAAATATTTAATCATTATTGAAATCATAATGAGTTACTTTTTAATTTTAAAAAAATCTGTTTATAGTCAAATAACATTATTTATCAAATGATGTTTACCACAAGATATGTTTCTGTTAACTTAAATTTCATTACTCTAAACTTATTATATGAATGAATTTGGATAACAAAAATTTAAAAAATCTATATAGTTAGAAATTAGAAAGTTATATACATTTAATATCTTAGAGAAAAAATTACTAATCTACTGGTTCTGTAAGACCCAAACACCTTATTATCAACAAAAATTTTACTAAGAACAGAAAGATAGAAACCTGAAGACCATCTCCAGGTTCCTATCTTTTGAATAGATTCAGGAAAAATGCCATTTACAGATTAATTCAAGACACGCAGAATTTGTTAGGGTAGAGGTGCACAAAATTCACCCTCTCCTTCTGAGATGCATCAATATTGTCGTTCCTCTTCCAATTCATATAAAAAAAACAATAGGTATAATAAATTTGTCTTCTTACAAACAATAAGATCTGAAAAACAAATGTATACAAATACAAACATGTATTCTGTTATGCTTTTATTGTAAAAAGTTAAAATTCTGCACCCACGTTAACCCACAGAACACCACTGTGCTGCAAATATGAAACACAGTTAAGAGGGAAAAAAATGTATTTCACATTAATTAAATTAATTCTTAAAAAACATTTTAAAATAGTAAATTAATCGTTTATTTTTTTCCTTACTTCATAGTTAATGTTAAATTTATCGATTGATCTTCATAGTAGGTTAATTACTAGTGAAATTACTAATGCAGAATCTCACTGTACAAATATTTTTAGGACATATTAATACAGAGACGAATAATAAATGAAAATTTCATTGATTTCTATGGAAAATATCGTAGAAAATTAATCGATAAAAACCTATTTGAACTATGACTTTAACACGCGTTTATCAGTTATCCGCTCAGAATAGCGATCTAAATTTACAATTTCCGTTTACTGATTTTGATATTTATTTCGAATATTTTTACCATTCGTGCAGTCAAATAATATATTAAAATAAATAAATAAATAAATAATAAAAAATTACTTACAGCTAAATTAACATTGGGCACAGATGGTCCCTGCTCCAGTAAGATCTTCACAATTTCAGTATTTCCTGTCCAAGCAGCTAAGTGTAGGGGCGTAGAACCTTTGTGATCAACGACGTTGGTAGATGCCTCATATTGCAATAATAATGACACAATTTCTCTGAAAAAATAAGGGAATTTTAACGTTTTAAGCATTTCAATATATCATGAAAACAGAATTATAATTAAGAGAGAATAAACATGTAGGAAATTCTATCATGTTAAATGCGATATACGTATCAGAATAATAATTACATTTATAAATTCTTTCTGGATTATTATTATTATTATTGTAATTCTGCTTAAAATTTACCGTTTACGCGATTTATGATTTACGATATTAGTGATGAGAGATCATTAAAAAAATTGTAAAATGTTCATTAATCCTCGTGTTCTCCGATTGTGGGAGCGCCTTATACGATGTCTCTACTGTTTGACAATATAGTCATGACATGAAAGATTCCTTCAGGAGCCACTTTTCATTGCAACGAAAACGTCAAGTTTTGAATATGACATGGCCATTGCAGAATGGAGAAACAGGGATGCACTTAACATTCCACATGTCGTAGTTTTAGTGATTTAAAATGTAGTAGAGTATCTGTCGTACATTCGGTCGAATGACTCTTGATGTACGATAAGTGAAGTTTATTGTATCCATTTGGGATAAATTGTTTAGAATAGGCCATAAAATGAACTCCATAGAATATACAGAAATAAATTTAATGATGAATGACTCGAACGTGTGTGTGCCCCCCTCCTTTTCAAGACTTAAAGCTCGGCCATGCAACATTCATGTAATTCGTTGCAATGTCCCTCTTTAAATGCAAATATATTAGAAGAGAAAGTTTAATAAATATTAAAAATAATTGATGACAAACAACTGTTTAAAATACTCACTTATGCCCGTTGAGCGCTGCGTGATGTAATGACGTATAACCAGACTGGTCTTGAGCATTAGCACCTGGCCCGCGACGTAAGCTGTACAAAAATTTAAGTATTTTAATGCTACCTTAATTAATATTCATTATAAATAAAAATTAACGGATAATTCGGCTGATAATCTGCATTAATCAATACACAACATTACAATTTTAAGTCCTTCCGCTTAAAAATCGTGCAAATATTCATTACTTTTTAATAAACGTATTCAAATATATAATTAAAATATATTTATCTATTTTAACACGGGACTTAATGAGATTCAAGTCTCTCATTTCTAGAATAATATACAGGTTTCATGATTAATGTTATATTTAGGTTATAGGAAAAGAATGTTAAACTTCTATTTTCGTTAAAATTTTTCAGGAAATTACCTGCTTTTGCATGCTTAACTTATATAAATTATGTAGCAGTGCAATCATTTTAAAGTGACCCTGAATTTAAAAAAAGAAAGAAAGAAAGAAATAACCTTCACTATTTCCTTCTGATATCATATAGCAAAAGTCATAACAGGAAAACAGTTATCCATTCATAAAAGTAATTCTAACATTCTTTAATTAATGAACAGAATCAATTTTAAAGAATTAAAAGTTTGCAACTACAGTAAAACCTGTCCAATGCAGAACCCGAATAAAAAGGAAACCTGCCAAAGACCAGAAAAATATTCGGTACCGTGCGATTCCGGTTTACACAGGTTTTACTGTAGAATAATCTTATTCGTATACAGACGAAAATAAAAGTGCTAACGAGATACGAGATTTTTCTTCAGTGAAACATGGACGTGATTTTCTTCCTTTCTTTTTATTTTCTTTTTAATATTCTTATCAGGAGAATAACATAAAACACATGATATATTATTTAAGCCATCAGACCTTTGTAATTTTATTTCAACGACAGATTGAGAACAGGACAAACCAATCGGTTGAATGCTATTCAAGCGAAAGAGATAGGATAACAATGCGACGACACTTCGGCGACATACAAACGTGTCCCATGTCACAGATAGTCTCGACACTGTAATAATCGATCGTCTTTTGGACAGAAAGTCGATGATACACAAGATAGATAGATCCAAAACGCAGAAAGGTGCTTTCGAGAAGTTAACGATAATGATTTCTAAGTTACCCTTTGTAGTATTTAAGATTTTGAAAATAAGTCTGAAGGCCATGCACACGGACCCGGGCTTGTGTCCTGAACAAGCTTGTGTCACGAACACACAAAGACCTAACTAAAGAAAACGCGTGTTGCTACTCAACAGCACTTTTTATGGATGGAGAAAAAAACAAAGACATCTTCATTAGTGAAATTTCATCTGTTTCCATTTGTTAATAACCCCAAAAAACAAGTCCCGTAAAAACCAAGCGTGGTAGAGGATTAAAGTGTTGAGGGGTGAAAGATTGTAATGAGCACAATATCATCGTAAAATTTCAAATCTCATCCGGATTAGTATTATGCGCTATTATTAGAAGTTTCTAATAATAAAATACATGGATGCGGTTGACATCACAGATAATGTCATCAAAAAATAACAGCTGTAAGTGTTTACGGTGAAATTCTAAAACACACTACACACAAACACCTTATACATAGATATACACGCTAAAGTAATTATGTAAAAAAAAACATAGATACTCTTTTCTGAAAGCCCATTAATTAATTGTCATGCAAATAACAGAAAACATTCTCTACTTTATCTAATTTTATGCGCTAAATTATATTTATCTTACAAAATGACATTCTAATTTCCGGAAGAATATTGAGTTACGTCATCGTGTCGAGTGTAGTACGTGTTTCAAAAGGTCAAATTAACAAACAGACACAGGTATATTTTATTTAAATTGCGAAATATCTTATTCATATTTTATAATGCATTGAAATATATCTCTTGTTCCTCGAACTTAAAATCGAAACACCTTCTGCATGTATTTAATAATCGCGAAACACGTCAGGTGAAGCAATAAATGACGTCATCTCACCTAGTTTTTTCCTTAACAAGACTCACTCGCTACGTCATTTTACAACGAACTTGTTGAATCATTCACGTATACAAGGTTAAATTTTATCATAAAATATTATTTAACTGAGAGAAATAATGAATAAATAGGTTAATATCAGTCTTATTACGTAACCTTATTTTTACCAATTAAGTTGGCATTTAGACCCTAAAGTCTAATTATCTCCTTAAATGATAAACTACTAATACCTATTGTACTAAACAGGAAGTATAAAAATATACTTCAAGCGGTGTACAGTACATCCAGTACGTCTCTGCGTGAACTTCAACGGAAACTTGCATAAATTACCTCCAGAAAATCAATTCACTTTATTAAAATATTCGATAATACAAATTTTAAATATCAAATTATTATTTCTAAAGCCGAATACATATGAGTCCATTCTGTAAATCGGGGAATTCTACTCTTAAACAACCAATAACCTGAATTAGAAAGGACGATGACCTCGCATCAAACAACAGGAGACTAATATTCGCCCCGTTTGCTTGTACACCAACATAATACAATATAATCACGGCATTTAATTTAAATTATAATTAATATATATACATAAAAAACTAAAAGTGGATGAATATAATTACATTTAACTATCGAATTTTACAGATAAACAGCCAGGATATTTGCAGAAAACGAGCCAGAAAATAATTTTTTTTAAGAGGGGGATATAAGTGTGTACCATAATTTGTATGCAGTTAATAAAAACGATTACATTTTTTCTTTTTCATTTTTTAATTTTTTCTCGTTGTTACAGTCTCTTAGTCGAGTACAGAACAGAATAGAAGCTGACTGAAATACTGAATGCGAACGATCGAATGAGACTCATCCATTAATCATGATGTGTCTCGCAGAGCTTACGCCACTTCCCGACTTTATAAGCGGGATTCTCGTGTTAAATGTCTGCTCCTCACCTTAGAGCGATTTTTTTTAATCACAGAACTGACTAATCTACATCAATTGTCATTTGAATATCGCCGTAAAATATTCAAAGATGCAATTTAAACCATTTATTGTTTGACGTATTCGTAATTATTCTACCTTAAAATTTCCAATCCGGTAGAATTAATGGTAAAGCTATCTTGATCAAGATTTATATGTTTACATAACTAAAACACTACATGCATAAAATGTAATAAAACGTTTCTATCAAATTTGATTCATTTTATAATCAAAAAATATATATATATAAAATTGTAATAATATATTATTAAAACCACAAGTTTAAATTACATAGAATTCGTTTTAATTCTACTCACTAAAAAGGACATGTCGTGCCCTGGGAGAATCCTCTTAACCTAAATTAATAAGTTATCCTTTCTATAAAAGATCTTGTGTTGTTTATAATTTCATTGCTTCTCTAAATAATAATAATAATAATTTCTATTCTAGTTACTTCCTGAATTAAGAACTAGTGGAAAATAATACGAAGGTTATCAATTAGTTTCGTTATTACTTCCCCTCTGTTATATACTGTATAGGTGTGAAAGTATGGTGATCGGTCAAAAAATGACCCTTCCTCCAAAATTTTTAATTTTTGGGCTAGGGAGACCTTGAAATGTCGATTTCTTCTGCATGTATGGTTGTTAGTGTATGTGTGTATGTGGGAGAGACACGATTTTTTCACTCATTTTGAAGCTTAATTCTCGTTCCTTTCGTCGACATTTTCTGAAATTTTGCAGAGGTTTGTGTATCAGGAGGAATTTTCCTAGAAAATTTCAGGAAAATCGGACCATGGATTCGAGAGCTATGGCCCCACTCCCTTCCAGCACGTTTCCAGCGTTTTTGATAGCCTATATTCTATATTAACATATTTACAACTCCGAATTTAACGCATGCCCCACTTTCAAGAAGCGATTTTCAGGAAGACGTTCGGATGGTAATTAAAAATAAATATATTTTATTAATGTTTTTCTCTATTTAATTTAATTTATTTAATTTTAACGTTTAAATTAATTTATTAAACGTTAAAAAACGTTTAATATATTAATTTAATGTATTTAAAGCATGATATAATTGACAGCAAATACAAAACAAGCAGAAAAACTAAAAATTTTCATTATAAGAGTGACAAGGCATATCCTGAATTTAAGATACATTCTTGGAAAACGTGCAGAAACTACGTCTTAAATGCAAAATAATAGCATACATTATATAATTTTTATGAATTTACAGTCAAACTTTTCTATACATTTCAAAAAAGAGATATTCCCGAAAATGATCGACGTCTAAAGGTGGTCTTATCGGAGGTTCGATTTTAATTTCTTAATAAAGATATAGACCGACAAGCACTTTTGAAGTGGAATGAATCTTAAATTCGAAAAAATTTTCGGGAAGAAGAAAATTCTGAATGATAATTAGAAGAAATACTCAATTTAAGACGTACAAATTGACCTTTAATAAGGAATTTTCAAGGGTAAAATCTCAGATTTCATTCTAATTGTCATATCCCCCTCTTACACCTCTTTACAGTGCCAAAAGTCAGAAATTTCTACAAAGAAAAACCAGCGCATTCACGTACAGTACTTTCCAATACAATTTTTAGAATTATTTTTGTATGGAAACCTTGTCGATGCGTAAACTATTTCAGTTTAGATAAAAGTGTAATTATTATCTAATCCTGTATAAGAATATACTACAAGAAAATCTGATTTCTAAGCATCAGTGCAGATCAATTTATTGAGTGATGGTTTGATAATGTAATAATTGAAATCTTCACGCTTGGTGGACTCACAAGAATAAAGATTTTAGTTAATTAAGATGTCGAAATTGCTTTCATTTCATTAGTTTTATGAAACTACATTAAATTTTTAATAAAAATATTGAAATTACACCTTTTATTAATTTTATGGTAAGTAACGATCGTTCATCTTTTTATTTTTTTAATAACATATAAAATTTAAAATGATTTAATAAAAATAAAAATTTGACTTATAAATTTCGTGAGATTTCTTAATTAAATAATAACGATTTGCAGATAAATTCTAATTAAAATATTGTATAATGTAATAAAATGTATGCGAAATTTAT